GTTGGGGGGGGGGGGGAAGGATGTCCATCGTACATGCAGGGATGTAGTTATGGGTAGTGGGCCACCCAGCTTTGAAGTTTTCCACCTAGTATAAAAGCTAATTTTATGGCTTTACACCCAACTTTTATTTACCCCCCTTGCCTACCCTTGACTACCACCCTTAGTTTTCTACATGTACAACCCAGTACATGACTTATACACCTTTTGATCATGTCTTGCATTTATTTAGGTATACTCAGCTTTAATTTTTATGATTTGAATTTTTAATCTTTACAGGAAGAAGATGACGATCAAAGTGGTAGCATTTTAGATAAGAACCCTGAAGCTAAGGCTCTTTTGGATATAATAGGGAAAGAAAGGAAAAGCGAGGGACTAAGAGAGGATCCAGAAGCAGATATTCCAGAGGTCCATCAACTCCCTCCTCTGTAGACACCATTCAGTATCTAACAATAGAATACTATTTTGCTTAAATCATGATATCACATAACTCTTCGATACATACAATTCACTATCTTTCTCTGTTCTGTGAACATGTATTCATTACTGGGGTCCCAAGTTGGAATAAGCACACTTTCAGGAGATATGTTAAACATGCTGACTGCCAGACCTTTTTTTTTTTAGGTTCGTTACCGTGTGCCAAAACAAGTTTACATGTACAAACATACTTTTTTGAAATTTTATCTAGTCATATATCATGAAAAAGGTGTGTCTAATAAATTGGGGACAAGTAAACTAGTCGCTGGCACTGGGACAGCACTTTTTATTGCCTCTGCCAAGTGAAAGTTTTCTCGTCCGCTGTTTTTGCATGGGTTGGTATATGGTCAGAACCACTCATGCAATCGAGTGTACTGCAGGTGACATAACAAATCAAACATACATACATTATTTGTACCTTATCGTCTTAGTGTATATTCCCGAACTACCAGCCATTAAGTCTGTGGTTCAACAATATATAACAAAGAAGTAATAAACGGTAGAATGTTACCCCGATTTTGATGAGCGTAGTCGTCCCTAGCGTCCTCAGCAACACCCAGTGGAACGAGTATACTCGTCTCTGGCAGCAAACGTGTTAAATGAGCTTTTCTTGACACACCTAATTTTATTCTTTGCTCTGCATGGTGATACTCCCTTAGCATTGGATTAGTTAGCAGGATGTTTTCCTGGCTAGGTTTTCCGAATTTTTCTATTTCTGCGCTTCATTTTGCCAAGCGCCTTGAGCATTTCTTCAAATGGATATGAGCATTATACAAATCTGATTTATTATTATTATTATTTAGGCAAACATTTTTTATACCTTGTTTCACAAACTTATTTTTGTAAAGATTGTCAGAGGATTTAGCAAGTAGTTTTGCATGGTGGCAGGTGCCTAAATGACCAAAAATAAAATTTTATTTTTATTCGAAATCATCGTTATTGGAGGGCAGCGAGTTCGATAACAATCTATAAAAAAAGGTCTCACCTTATTACCACTGTCAATATTATGAAGAACATAAACATCTGTAATACTAAAGATTATCAGTACGTTCATTACACAGAAATACATTGCATTGAGAATTTTTTTGAAGTGAACATGTGCGCTATATAGATCATGATTATTATTATCATTAATATATAATTTAGATATAACCAAATTTCATGTACACCAATAATATTTATAGATCTTACACTATGATATTTATAGAGCTACAGTGGTCGTCAGCAGGGGTGGAGAGGTTGCTTTAAGTCCTACATTGGACCAAAATATTTATAAAATAATTGTAATATATAGGCAAAATGCATTCCAGAAAAGGAGAGTTTAATTTTCCAAAGCATCCGAGGGCTTATCCACTGGACCCCACTATGGTTTTAGCCATATTGACATAGCTGATAGCATTTTAGACCAACTGTTGGACAGCCTGGAACCCCTGAACATCTAACCACTGTATGTACAAGCAGTTAGTGATTGGTCCATGAATTGTAGGCTTACGAGAAAATATTTATTTATATATAATCAATAATAATTAATAATGAACATATTAAGATGTGCTATGTTTGTATATAGTTGTCTTGCTAATGAGGCAATTACCTACTAACATATTATCAGTACTGTACTGCTAAAATCTGCAAGTCAGTAGGTGCGTAGAAAGTCGATGTCTACTTGAGGTCAGGATCCGGAGGGAAAAAATGTTAAAAAAAGATACAGCTGCATATTTGACCGAAAACTTGGGAACAATTAATGATTTGCATATAGATTTAAATGAAAACTTGGGTGTGGGGGAGGGCGTAACTACCCTTTCTCCCAGAAAGTTTTTCCTCTGTAGCCTGGCTCTCTAAGGCGGTCTACTTTTTAGGCCCATAATAGACAGAGCTATTTCTAATAAATTATTTAGTTGGGACCTGAGATGTGGAATTTAATATATAAAACTGTGACATATTAATCATGATAAATAATATCCAATCTTTGAATTGCTTTATTTATGTATAGTAATTTATTAGTTTTGAATGGAAATACTATTTTTCTTGCCAATAATAGACATGTAAATAATACGATTCCGAAATCTTATTTGTTTTGCTAAGAAAAGATATTCATGTTAAAGTCTGTACATCAGTGATGTTTTTCTTGGTTGTCTCAGAAAATATAATTTATTTGATTGTAAGTTATAAGAAGAATCTTAAAGAGTTTATATAGACTAAAAGGCTTCAAAAGATGTTATTAACAATGTTATGAACATTTTTGCATCTTAGAAACAAAATAGTTGATAATAAAGAACTGTAATGACGACTAATAATGGTACAGTAATTTTTATATTGTCTATAGTTTATTACAGTATATTTACATCATAAATTATATATTCAAACATCCAAATACAGTATAACTTTGATATTTCTGATATATTAAAGCATTCTGTCTAAAAAAAACATACATCAGAGTACTATCTTCATCTTGTGCACTAAACCGTGAAGATCTTTGTCAGTGTTTCTAATCCTTCGAGCATCTCTATGATTCAGAGCAGATCACGGTCCTGCGTACAATAAAGGGGTGTAGGTTGAATGTGGAACTAAATCCTCATTCCAATGAAAACTCATGGTTATTTATATAACCCAATAAGTAAAACTAATTGGAACCCTGGTGAGGGGAGTGTTGTGCAGTGAACAATCCCCTCCCTCACTTCAGCCTATGCCCATGCAACATAATAATTGTGCACTTGGTGTTCTGCCCAATTAACTACCAGCGTTGGTGCCACACAATGGCCTCCATACATGTACATCAAGGCAGTGGTGGCTCCGACTGGCAACTTAAATCCTTGGTCAGGGTCTCTGATTGAAATTCCCTGGTATGGTATACACAGGTTAAGTTTTTATGGCTTAGTATGGCTAAAAGTGTGCTTTTAGACCACACTACAGTATTAGTGATTGGCAATTAAAATAACGTTATTTTGATAAGCAAATTACCATTTTTGGTCTGACAGAGGTCCATGGGAAATTTCCTATTTTACTGGGGCACAGCCTGAATATCTTAACTATAACCAATGAGTTTACTTTATTTTCCTAATCAATAAAACAATATTAAAATTGGTTTAATGTATTTCATACAAATATAGATACAGACAATTGAATACCAAACTAAATTTGAATAGTATTAGCAATTTTACACAGATACAGTATTTTCTAAGTTGATACAGTACAGTACTATAGTTTTACATAGTTTGGTAATTTTTTTTTTCTTCAGGTACAAAATACATAATTAGATAATTACCGGGGGTTATGTAATGTCTAAGTTCATGTCATAAATTCACAACAATATAAATTTTACGTTTATTCGTAGCCTAGATGTGGTCCACATCTAGGCTACGAATCTAGGTTTCTGAAAACCAGTGTTTAGACTTTAACTTACGGTTCCAGACAGAGAGCCTATGGTGTTCAATAGGAACACAGCTGACTTGCATTTAAGGATGAAATATAGCGTTAACTACTTTTGCTGCCCAATTACAACAAATGCAAGCCGAGGTATCTAAGCCTGGCTGAAGTGGGCAACTGTGAGGCTAAGAACTTGAACATTAACCACAGCACCAGCCTTCCTCAATATACAACACATTTTTAATAAAGTTCAAAATCTCTTCTCCAAATTAACAGTTGGGTAAAAATTATCGTCGATTGGTGATGCACTGTAGTAACCTGGCTTAATTGCAGACAATCCATTTTTGTAATTGAAATGGTAACTAGAGAAGGAAGCTTAAATCACCCTCTCCAGACTCATCTTCACCTCCCCCTGTTGCTCCTAGTTCTACAGAATGTGCATTCGCCTTCTTACTTTCACCTGGTGCCGTTAAACCTCTAGCTAGCTTAGTATACTGAAACAAAAAAACATGATGAATCAATATTAAAAACATGCACAGTTTGAGAAAAACATTAACTTGATGTGACCCCTGACCCCTACCATACCCTGTATTGGAGACTACTCTAAACCCCTTAATCATAAAACAGGAGAAGACCAAGTAAAAAATTGGCAAGCAGGTCACTGCACCCCTGCCAGCTAAACACATTCAGAAGCGAATGGAAATGTTCACACAAGTTCTTACTGGGCATAAAACCTCTTAAAATTTGTCTGGTGGTGAATCAAGCTTACAAGGTGACAGGCACCCAACCTGACCATTCAACCAATGTGACATTCATATATTTGACTAGTACTTAATGTGTTTTTTTTTTTTTTTTTTTTTAGAAACTAATGAAACCTTTGCTCAACATTAGGCCTAGTATTTATTTTTTGTATCTGACATGAAACCGGACCAGAAATGATTGCTTACTTCGTTGTCTAAATAAGTAAAGTATGGCATCTTGCTTATCCTTAATACACCTTCACCATCTTGATTGTCGTAAGCCTCCAGCATTTCTTGCAGTAAATAAGATGACTCATGTTCTGCAAAGCCATCCAAGCTACAGACAAGAACAACAAAAAATAATATTTATAGGGCAGTTATTTAACTGCCCTATAAATGATAAGGAATTTCCTTTTTTTACATTAAATTTTAAAATTCAAAGTTAATAACAAATTAAGCAATTCAAATACGTTTTTTTTTTTTAGCTTATGGCAGACAGTCCATGCTTGCCTTCTAATTCCAGGGTTCTGGGTTCAATTCCTGCGACTACAGGACATTTTTTTGCTATTAAAAAACAATGGCGAGTTACTTTCTTTTGGGTGCAAAATAAATTAAAATATATTTATACTGTAGTTATGAACTGCTTTTGCACATGTTCAATATTCTACAGTATATCTATAAATATGTCTTGCATTCAATGTTACATTTTACACAATTCATATCTTTATGTTTAAGATTTTAATATAAACTAAAAAGATGATGAAGGTTAGATTTGAATTTCTTACTCAAAGGAAGCCTTGAAAATCTTGTCTGCTGCTACGTAGTCATTGGAGTAAAGAAACACGAGCACAAGAATAGCGGTACTCTGAAAAAGAATCATCAGTCCTTTAGCGAGACTTCTTTTTATACTTTGTTTAGCAAACCTGCCAACTGTAGAAATTGGTGATTTCGTCTACCAATAAAATTTTATTTTTTATTTTCTCCTCCGTCTGGATGATTTTGGTAAAACTATTTGCTAAATAAGAAAATTTATTTTTATTTGTATTCCACCCTCCTCCAATGATCTTTAAAGAAATAAGTACGCGAAACAAGGAATAAAAAAAGCCTCGCCTTAGTATTCGTTATTTCAATTTTAAATGTTATTCAAAAACCTCCGAAACAGAGATAAAATACATAAAAAATATTCACAAATATCAACACATCAAAATACATCACAAAACACATCAAAATACATATGAAAATAAAACGACTAAAATTCACTTGTAAGTAAAATAATGAAATGAGTATAAATTAGACTGACAGTTAACTCTTAAAAGTTGTGATAAAATGTCTCTTCCGTCACATTCCAAAAATTATTCAAATCATGAATCAAACTTAAAACTAATTGATAGAAATAAATTGTCTCTCATTAAATACAGAAATGAAAACTTGTTTGTTTAAAAGGAACAAGTAAATCAGTTAAGTTTTTGCTAATTTATAGACATAGATATATAAATATAGGAAGATATTTTTGTAAAGCTATTTATTGTCAAGAAACATGCATATAAAAAGCAATTAATAATTAAATTCGTTTTCTTATTTTTTATTAGCATTAATTAACAGCACAAACATTTTATCTTGAATATAATATAATGGCAATTTCTAGATGTTTTTCTATTGCAGCTTTCATTTCAGATAAAATTTAGAATAACATGTCCATTTGTGTGATATTTATATTGCAATTGTATTTATTCCAAACCTTGAAAAGAGAATCTCGTGTATATTTGCCAATGACAGTAAAGAAAGATCAGACTGCTTTCTACACCCTCCAATACGAGACCACATTTTTTAAGAACCAAATAAAAATCTTCTGTTAAAACAAAGCCAACACCCAGACCACAAATTAGTAAGTTTCTGCTTACCCGAAATGCTGATTGGTAGTTCTCCAATTCAATGTATATATCCCGTTCTTTCTTTAAAACACCGGCAGCATCTGTCATAAATTTCATTTTAACCATTAGCCTGGCCGCCTTACCAAGCAAGTCCACTGCTTGCCGTAATTTATCTTCATTCTATGAAACAAACCACAATGCTTTAACATGTTACAATTGTTTGCATGCTGAAACTGTTAGTTCCAATGATCTGCCTCATATATTTGCTGGAATAATGATAAATGGAAAACAATATGTTTTCATTCTAAACAAAGTCTTAGTAGGGCTATGTATTTAAACGCCATGCTATTGTTTAAAAAAATTCAACTTGCATGATATCTGCCCATTTACCTATAGTAATACTCTGTTATTATAATATTGAGGAAATTGGTATGATTTCTGTTGAGATATAATAAAAAATAAAAATAATAATAAAAAACTGTCTTAATTTGAAGTTACTACTTTTTTATTTGTTTTTACACTATCAATGAATAAGTATTATATAATATTCAATGTTTCTACTTAATCATTAAGGGTATATGACAAATATTAAATTTTATGTACATATTAGAAAATTAACAATAAAAACTTCTGTCTATGATTGTTTTCCTATGTGTTAACCTTCCAGACACAAATTTCCTCAAAAAATTGGAATCTAATAATATTTTTTATTTCTTACGAATCAACAATTTGTCGCAATCATCACAAACTAACAGATTTAAAATAGAATGTGTTGGTTTAATAATAATAGTAATAATTTATTGACATACACCATTTATATCAGTGGTACTCAACAGGTGGTGCGTCAATCATCTTAACTAATACAAAAGTAATCTTAACAAAACTAAAGAAAATATACAGTAAAGGAAAATAAAAATAAAAAGAGACATAAAACACAACAACACAAAGCCAATTTAATCTTCAAGAAGATCACACCTTTTTCTCCATGCTCTTTTTGCTAAGGATTTGCAAAATTTGTCGATCAAGATTTTAATTTTTTGATGAATAAGCTATTGTCATTGCCGAGAAAAAAAGAGTAATTTGTTTTCAATATCTAATTGTTGGTATTGCTGGAAAACGTGTAGGAAATCGTTAAGAGAGAGTTGCTGTTTAAACTTCTCAATTTCCTCAGTTCTAATATAATTTACAACAAAAGTGTACCAAAATAAATGCATATTGGTTGTTAAGCACTTTTATATTCTTTATCACACAAAAAATATGTAATGACAACAGTGCACATATCAACACCCATTTTTGTTTTCATGTACTACTGCAACACAATCTTCAGTACTTCCATTTTGTTAGTTTATGATGTGAGCGATGAATTTTCAATATATCAGAAGGCTTTTTATTACCTCTGCAACTTCTGATGCTTTCATATAAAGTTCTATTGCTTCAGTTGGATTGGGTGTCTCCATAATCCTATTAACAGAGAAAGAACTTGGTGATTATAACAGTCTTGTGCATGCTGAAGATATTAATAATATGAAGTTTGCATTTACAGTAATTCTAATATATCCACCAAGTGTGTATTTTCCTCTTATTCAGCCTTCCTTTGACTTTTGCTCAGTTATTTATAATTCACTTTTTTCTTCCCAATCACTTAGAATAGAAGGGACTCGCAAAAGGTTCTTGAGCTTTATCAGCCCAGCCGCCAGTTGGCCTGCTTAGACAGACAGGACTTATAATTTATTATAAATGTCTTAATTCATATTTTTAAATTGTAATCTTGTCTCTATGTTCAATTTTAATGCTCTTGTCCGTAATGTTTGCTGTAAACCACTTCGTAATGTTAAATACTCCCGTGTCAATGTCTGTGATTAGCGTACAAATAATAGTCTTGATATTCCTAATTGTAGTTTCACTCACTTTAAGTTTACTATTATTGACCTTATATAATTTTATTTTAGTGGGAGTATTTTAAGAACTAGCATAATCATGGGTGGGGGTACTGTACTTGCACTACAACAATGGTGTCAACTTACTTGGCACCCCTTTCTAGCATTATAGCTGCCGTGTCCACTGAGCCATACTGCCGGTATAACTGCGAAGCCCGTTTTATTAACTTTACTGACTCGTCATAATTTTTCTGATCCTAAAAATGATATGAATAATATATACCGTAAGTGACATTAATTATCATTACAAATAATATAACATCATTTTTCAATACTTGTAGTGTATCTAGGTGTTTTGAATTATGGTGTTGGCGTTAATGGGAGGGGATGAGGGTTAAGTGAGGAGCTAGCTGGGAAAAAGTTGATGATGAGGTTACTTCGCTACTTTAGTATCGGGGATCTACAAAGTGTTTCTGGAAGAGTATACGACGCACATGCTTCTCAGATACCCCACTGTTTTTAATGTCTCTTTTCTTCGGTGTTATATTATGTGTAATTTGCCTGTGTCTAAAGAAATTCTCTTTTATCCATTCAAATGTATATTACATGATTATTTTTGTCGAAGTTTACAAAACTTACCTTCAAAATCATTGCAGCTTGTTCGAAGTCCTTAGCTGAATGAAAAAGTCTTGTTAAAAAGTAAAGGAGGTTATATTTTCAGCAATACTTTTACTTTTTAAATAGCACATATTAACTCTTTTGACAGCAGCATGGAGTCAGCAGTTAACATTTAAAAAATATGGCGTTCCAAGTACTGTAGAATTTTAATACTGATACAATACACTTTTAGTACAATAATCATATTAATAAAATTACTTCTACACTTATATTATATTTAATAGAAAAGAAAGGTAGTGAATTTTCCTTTAATTTTAAATATTAAATGTGTAATTATTGTTGAATAATAAATTAATCAACATTTGTGCATAGTCGAAAACAATGAAAAAAATGAATATGCTGTAAAACTACCTGTAAGCATTCTAATGTGAATTTATATATATAT